AAAAACAGGCTGGAGACAGGAATCCTGAAAACTCTGGTCATTAAATTGACTTAAAAGGAAAAAGAATCTATCTACTTATCTTCTAAGGATGTGTAAGAAATTGTATTGTTTCAACAGTATACATAAACAGGCATGCTTATTGAGAACATTTTATTTTCAGATTAAAAGAATTTCTATTTATTTTGGGACTTTGTAAAACATGTTAATAATTATAATTATTTGAATTATAAAGTAATAGTTCTGTGATTTGATGAAAATATATAAAAATTGAAAAGGTTAAAATGATTTCAATTGAAGTTCGGCATCTTTATAATTTTTAGTAGGAATTTAACATTACTTTTTTCTGAGTAATAAATTATCGTGCATTAATCCTAGTAATTTTAAAACATTAAGACAACAAATGAAAAATAATTTTTATAATGTAATTTTTCAGCAATTAATGCATTTATAAAATCCAACATTTCTTATTACCATAAACATTATATATACCATACATACTCGCGTATAATGCAACCTTTGAAGACCTAATTTTAAAGCTAATTTGATTACAGTAAATGGAGATGTAGTTTGGTTTACGGCGTAACCAGGGCCAGCAGTATATACACTAATTTTATATCTCATGTATGATGCAACCCCCTTAAAATTAGCTTAAGAATCAGGTCTTCAAAAGTCATACATGGGTATATACAGTAATGAGTAAACATTTAAGGAGACATTACTAAAGAAAATGTGCCTCTCAGCAGGAATCAAATCTGCATTGACAAATGATGAAGTTTTAGAAACTACAAATAAACTGAGAAAATTGAAATTTTGAAGATAAGGAAAAAGGCCCAGAGAATCTAATACTCACAGGACATATCAAAAGCAGAGGAAAGTGTTGAGTAATGTACTCAACTAGTCTAAGTAACTTCATGTTGGAACAAGTAACACAAAGATAAAGAGGGATTATAAAAATGCATAAAGCAACAAGAGACAGGAAGTTGAGGAGAGCCATTATTGCCCACATCTTGAAGGAACTTGGCACAGATATTATCATTTACATAGAAACACACTAATAATATTAATATTGTCCACTATAAACAAGCTTTTGCCAGGAGTAATTAAAAAAAAAAAAAAAAAAAAAGATAATTTTGCCATTTCTTGAACCATAGTAATATAAGGGAACAATGAAGTATAAACAATTCCAAGATACTAGGTTGAGTCTGTAGTGGATTGGTAAATAAGATTATGCCTATTTGCATATTTTAAGTAGAAGAGAAATAAAGTGTTTAGTAAAATAAGAGACAGGCAGAAGTTGACTACTGATCAAGTGTCATAGAACAATGCAATACAACAGTAATAAGTAATTTTTGTTTTGGAAAATCAATTGTAATGAAGACAATATCATCTTCACTACTAATCACATGTGGCATTTAAGAATAAATTTGGAGAACATACTTTTTGCATGACAGTGATAGCATACACACAGTGTATTAGAGAATCAATTTCTTTATCTTAATAATGGAGAAAATGAAAGAGCATATATGTCACAATGTTGTGGGAGTTTAAGCAAGGGAATAACACTATGAAGACATATGTAGTGTTTATAGTCAAGAAGTCATATCTGACTCGCAAGTGAAAAATTGTTTTGCCAAGTTTCATTTTAAAGAAATGTTATTGGAAAATGAACCCAGACCAAGACATTCATCTGACTTTGATGATGAGCTCTAAGCAACCCATGGCAAAGTACTCAGCAATTAACAAAGATGTTAAACACATCACATTCTACCGTATCCTGAAAAGATAGGGAAAGACAGCAAGCAGGTTGTATTGGTTCTACATGATCTTAGCAAAAAGCTGGATCATTTATCTATGTTTCCTTTCATGACAGAGAAATAATGTGTTGCTTAAATATATAACAGGTAATGAAAATAGGTTACATATGACAATGCTTAAAGCAAAAGGCAGTGAACTGACAAGGATAAATCTACCCAACTGACCTCCATGCAAGGTAATGTTGTGCATGTGACAGGATCATCAAGGTATTATTCATCTAGAGTTCTTAAAATACAATAAAACACAAAATGCACATTTATACTTCCAGTAGCTGCAAGGTGTCCATAAAAATTTGGTTGTAAAGAGCCCTAGCTCACCAGTAGGAAAAATGTTGTTCACCACCATGTGACACATGACCACATACAGTGAGAATAGCCTAGAAAAAATCTTGGGAACTCTGTTGGTCTCTTCTACCCCACCCACCATATTTTACAGTATTATTATTTCCTTTTTTCAAACGTTTAATGGGGGAAAGTTTTCACTAATGAAAACAAGCTTCAAATATTTTCACATCAAAATCTATGGAATTTTATTAAGAAAGTATTGAAGAGCTGCCTGATAAGTGGAAGCAAGTCATTGCAAATGATGGTGAGTATATATAATTGAATAGAGTGGATAAACATAAATGGAAATTATTTAAGACTCAACCTAATAGAACTGAAGAAACTAAATATGTTTGTCTGGTCATGTTATCCTGCACCTAAAAAGAAAATCTCCTGTACCAATTCTTTAAAGCAAATCAAGTTTTTATATCAGTTTCTTATAGTTCAGTGTAGAGTCAGTTTTAATGGTAATGAGGAATCCATAAAATTCTTTTTTAAAGAATTGCTTAAGGTACATGCATGTAATATTTAAATATAATTCTGTAACTTGAGTTTTTAAAAAATAAATCAAATTGAATGACACTTTGACACAAACATAAGTCAATTATTAAAAAGATTAATGACTAAAAGAATATAACCAGTTTCCCTCTCCTAAAATATCAAAAGTATTTTAATCATGCATGATTTTGAACTATTGTTCAAACTATAATTAGTTTGATTATATAATTGTTATAATTATGTTATAACTATGCTACAAGGTAGCTGATGAGTCCTACAATTTGTACTAGGATGAGTTACAATATTTGAATCAATAAACTCACTTCAGATTCCAGCAGAGAGAGTTCACTTTCATTTTGTATTAATGACCTTGGGAAATGCATGACTTTATCTTCTCTTGCTCTGGACTTGACTCTCTAGCCTTGGTTGGCCGCTTGTTTAGTAGAAGAACAATTCTAAATTTAAAACAGTAGAGAAGACAGCAGAAAGCCACTTTACAGTCTTTCCTAAGAACAATCATGGCAAGGCACAGTTTGCATAAAAGGATGCTGAGGAAAGCCATGACCATCTATGACTTGAAGGAATGTGACACTTAAAGAAAGAGTGTTCACTGAACTTTAAGTTTAAATACTTTCTAAGTCTTTTTTGTTAATTCTCCCGGGAATACAGTTTTCTTTGTAATGTAACTAGATTACCAGTTTAACTTACTTTAAATTTATTTATGATCTTAAAATTAGAATAACTCCAGAATAATTTTTAACTGAAATAAGAGTTTAATTACAAACATGACTGGTAAAATATTAAAAAAAAAAGAAAGGTTCCCTCTCAGAGTCTCAGATCGGTTTCATTTTTACCTTCTTTATACAAGTACCTAATAACTTAAAATTATATGTAAAAAAAAATAAAAATGCTCTATTCTCTCAGTGACGCTTGCCTTAAATTCTGACCATTTACAATCCCTTTCTTCTTGATTTCCATAATGCGCATCGTGTGCTGAAATATGCCCTAACAAAATTAACTCTTCTCAAAATGTATATTTCCTCCAATTATAAGTTCTGAAATTATTTCTTGGGAAGTGGTGCAATGCACGTAGGTTTACGCTTTAAAAAAAAAAAAAAGAAAAGAAAAAAGCCTTATATAGTGAATTCCTAAAATTAGAATTAAAATTTGTCAACTTGTTTCTTTACATGTGACAATCTCTCCACTGTTCTTGCTAAAGCAATCTTTAGTTTACTTTACCGGCATATGGCTTCTCTCAACTTAATAATATGCTATTTTCGATCATCGTAGCAAATGATCTTTACATTTATGCTTTATATGCTAATAAACAGTAAAATTTTTTATTCATCATGGGCTAAATGTTGTAATGAAACTAGGAAGAACATAGTTAAAAGAAAAATTTTTTTAAAAAATGAATTACTTTGTGTTAAATATTTTAATTTAATCTTTGCAACGTTTAAAATTATTTTAAAATTATTAGCTTCGTAAACCAAAAAAAACTACATTTTTCCCCTATCCTACGATCTCGAAGAAAAATTCCAAGTTGTTTTTTTTTACTTTTTTGTAAAACCTCCAGATCGCTCTCTTTTTTTTTTTTTTTTTTGGCCTTTGACAAGCGGTTTTCTTGTTTCTTTTAGTTCATTATGAGAGAAGATACAAATATATTTTCTAATAACAAAGGTAAATAATTTCACGTACCCGAGGCTTAGCTAAAAAAAAAATGTATAAAGCTTATAAAAAAAAACAAACAAAACAACAAAAGCTGTTTTTTTTTAAATGAAATTTAGCATCTCTACAACTTGTAGCGATGTTTCGTACGCAACTCGAAAACGATAAAATGTTTATAAAAATTTAGAGAAATTAATTGAGTAATTTTTATTTTGTAGTAAAATTATTCATTCAGATATTTTCCTAATTAAAACAATTATGTTTATCATATTATCGATAATTTAACGCTACTACAGAACTAGTGTATTGAATATTAACACAGTTCAGGAGTGTAAGAAGTATTATTATTCAACGTCAGAAGAAAAAAAAACGTTGTCTGCAGGAAAAAGAATAAATAATTGCCTATTCGTCTATAAAGATTCCTCTTTCTTTAAATAAAAAAAAGAACACTTAAGAAAAATAAGAAAAGTGTATTTCAGTAGATTAAAAGAAATTAATAAATATGTATCTATATTTATCAATGGAGGTTAGGTGAGAAAACTAGCATTGACATCTGCCGAGTCACGTGGTTAAATGTACTGCATGCACGAAAACATTAAAATACTTTTTTTCTCAGTTCTTTTCAGTTCATTTAGGGGATTCAGGGAAGCCGCCAGTGTCCACTTGTATATTGTGGAGAAACTGGACAATACTCACTTAACTCGTCTTGGCCTGACAT